GTCCAGATGTAAAACATCCAATACTGTTACCTAAAATTTCGCATTTTACACGTTTAATAATTCAACACTATCACAATGGATATTTACATGCCGCACCGAAACTGATTTTATCAACGATACGAAGAAAGTTTTGTAAACGTTGGTCAATCGAGTATTTGACGACACTTCAAGGCCGACTTAAATGGACAAAGGGGAAAGAAAATATTAAAATTGTCATCGTTGATGCTCCGAATCGCCCACCGACCGAATGGAAAATGGGCCGCATTATAGCAGTTCATCCGGGTGTAGATCAAGTAGTACGTGTGGCTACCGTACATACCGCAGACAGTGATTTCAAAAGACCGGTAGTGAAATTAGTCAAACTACCAGTGAATAATTAATACATCTAACTTGTTTTATATTTATCCTATTCCTTCCTGATTTCTTTAATGGTCCTTTAATATAACTATGTTCATATTTTTATTTAATTTTAAGATAGATTTTAAGTTCAATGATCAATTAAGAATATCAATCAGTTTGTCTTGAAAGCTTTAGCTTTCAACGTCGAGAGTATGTTGGATATGCATCACGAGAGGGCGTTTACTTACATTTTTTCGTTATGACTGATAACACCACTTACACTACCACCACCGGTTGTGCGAGAAATTCATTATTATGTCGGATGATTACGTAATCGATCGATGTATGATATCGATGTGTAAAATCGTTCAAACAATTTTAATTGTCTAAAAAATCGAGTTTTTAAAAATGAAAACCTTTATGTAAGAGTAAACAGTTTTGTCGAAAAATGAATTGATTATCATAAAGGTGATCATTTCCTTTCACAGAATACCCTAAATATAGTCGAAGAATCTTTTAATGATAGTATGACATGTATAAATTGGTAAAAGTCTGAAAAATGTTACATTTGAAAATATTAATACTTCTGAAATTACAAATAACGCAGAGAATGAGACTGACGTAAGTATAGTAAATGCAAATAATGTACCGAAAAAAATAATATGATTTATCTTCCTTGCTCAAATGGTGACTGTCCCACATGATTGCAATGCTGTTTTAATTGTAATAAACCTGTTTATTTATTTGGGTGCGCTATGGATAACCCCGATAGTGAGGAAGATTCTGGCCAATCACGCATTTGCTTACAATGTTATAAAAATAATAATAATGAACAGTAGAAAAAAAAAAAGGAAATCTACAAATACAAAACGCCGATCTTCAAAATCATTTCTTATTCATCAATCAAGGTTTAAACAGATAGACTTGGTCCTGTCAAAATTCCTGTTCAAATCAAACAAGACCAAAATTAGTACCTGGGTTAAGAAAGATAATTATCAATAATATCTGTTCAACACATTCAATTACAATAATTTTGGCATGCTCTGTTGCAGCCAATTAAATTATAGTAAATTCTTATTGAATTCAATAGAAAATTTTAAAACTACCCAGTTTATCATTAAAATNGAAACAACGTATTCTTGCAGAATTTATTCCACAAGTAAATATTTTGGCTAATCATAACGACAAAAAAGTAACTAATAAAGATATAGCAGAAATTCTATTACTAAATTTAAAAAATAAAATTCACAAGATCGTAGGTGATTTAAAAATATTAGATGCAATGGATACTGTATCTAATGTGGTTAAAGTTTTATTTAGTAAACATCCATCTTATAATTTAAAAACATATTGCTCTAATAGTTTGTGTGAAAATGTTTGGTTGAAATCAACATTTACGGTTATACCACTAAACGTTTATGATGAAAAAATAGATTTAATTGCCGAAATAAACAATTTTTTTTTTCGGAGTATTGGAATTTGTAATGTTTGTGAAAATTCGTTTAAAGGACATTTAAACCATAAACATCCACGGTACTCCAATAATGGTAGGCAAGAAAATTGGCTGAAATGCTTGAAGTTCGTAAATACTTAAAGTTTTAGCAGATCCCAAGATTATAAATTGGTATTTCCATATTGGTTGTAGCAGGGCTTTGTATAGGTTTATTTTACTTTTTAGAAAAAAATTCGATTTCATTAGAGGTCTTAGATGGTGAATACGGGAATTAAGTTTTTTCCTTGTAAATATCAGACTTAGGTATTTGACATGATTAGAGTGAGATCTTGGTAAATCATTTAGTGTAATTATTGAAAATATCTCCTCGTAGTGTGTATAGATTTGTCTGGGTTTAATTAAATTGCCACTTGGTGAATCAAGTGCTTAGGTGATCCGACTGATTTTTTAGGATTAGATAAGCAATCACTGGGTCACTATTCGACGAAAGGTAGAGATGTGTCGTCGTCATAAGTTCATATCGAGATTAAATCAAATGTTGGAAAATCGGCAATGTCTGCAGTGTATTTAAATAGGAAAAGTTAAAAACAATCTTACTCTAAAATCTGTGTTTTTAAAATATGACTTAAGTAAAGAAATATGAAGCAGGAAAGTGGGTTTTAAGTTAAAATAATAAGCCATAAAAACTATAATATTTATTGAAATAAATATGAAAAAGTTTAAAACAATCCTGTTTGGCCTTACATCAACCTCAATACGGCACGGAAATCGATTATTTGATCAAGTCGTTTTTTCACAGAATAATTTTTCTATATCAATTACACACGTTTTTATTTTTTGGATAAGAGAGTGATTTAAACAAAACATTAAAAAAAAATACTATAGATTTGAACCAATCTAATATAAAAATGTTCGACGAAAGGTAGGGCTGTGTCATCGGCATAAGTTCCTACCGGAACTCCAAGAAATATATAAAACTGGTCGAAGTAAATCTTACCCTAGAAACTCTGTTTTTATATGACTTCAGTAATAGGTGGTTTAAACCTCTAAAGAAGGTTATAAGTTTAAATAGTAATCCGTAATGTCAGACAGTATTGAACGCTTGAGCTAAATCCAGGATGATACCTGTTTCTAATGTAGAATCAATTGTGTCAGCACTCTATGTAATTGATATGTGGTGGCATGTTTGAGTTTACATAGTACTTTTTTCAAAAGTTATTCTTAGAATAGGCAATAGAATAATAGGACTGTAATATGTAGTCTTTCCTGGAGGTTTACCTGACTTCAATACGGTAATGATATTTGATAATACTTTTAACATTTAATGTGATTTAAAAAAATCATTAAAAAAAAAAATTCTATGCATTTGAACCACTCAAAGAAATAAATGTTCAGTTAGAAATCGTTTTTTTATTGTTCTCATTGTTTATATCAATTGAACTGTATCTTTTTATTGTATTCTTTTAACTAACTTTTTTAACACTCTGTAAATTACATTCTTTTTCTATGCGTATTTATTGTCCTGAGAATTATTCCGGTTAGCATCTTAATGTATTATGATGTTACTTTTTTTTTGTGAAATGATTATACGCAAATTATATGCGCAAACTCTAGTATCATTTACATTATTTTTTGTGAAACACATCACACACATTGTAATATACATTAATAAATTTGTAAATGTTGTTATNTAATATACAATAATAAATTTGTAAATGTTGTTATATAGTTATATTTAATTTTAAAATTTTTCTTTTGACCAATATATTTAGATAAATATATTGGTTAAAAAGATAACCTTTTAAGAATCAAGTTCAAATTTATTTATCTTATTTTTTCAAATATATTATTATATTTTTAAAAGCAATATATCGATAGAATATAATTATAATTCGTCACAAAATGTGAGCATTACTAAAGTATGCTCAAAAATAAGAAACCCAGCACAGGAGGGTCGCGGCACAGTTGTGACATGTTATAGTTGGATCAAGTATAATGATATCTGACAGTGATTAAAACCACTATCAAAAATAAATGCTTCGATGCAAATCTTTAGATAGTATTTAATTTAAAAAAAATTGGTGTTTATTCCAAAAGCTACTTGATCTGCTGGTTCCTTAATATCTCGATTAAGATAAAGTATGTCGAATGAATAAGGGTTTATTAAAAAATATTATTTCTCATAAAAAAATTGTGTGGATCCATAAACTTTTCAATAAGTTATAGCATTATAAAGTTAAATATAATATGAATAATAAAATCGAGAATTTTCACACGAAAATAGCTTTCGGTAGCCATTTTCGCCGTGAAAACAAGTCCAGAGGTCAAATTTTTTTTTTTCAAATTAAAGTATATTACATTAGCTTTAATTTAAGATATATATAAAAGTGTCATACCTTCCGGAACATTTTCAAAAGTTATGTTGAAAAAGTAAACTTTTTGTGAAAAAGTTGTCATTTTAAATCCCCCCCTGTGGGCAGGTTAAGTGTCAGAATTACAAAAAAAATATACCATATGATAAGTAAAGACATCAAGCATCTATAAAAAAAGTTATATTCATATGTTCATTTTTGAAAAAGTTACGGCAGTTTTTAGTAAAAAAAATTGAAAAAATTTCGAAAATTAGCGATTTTTAAATTTGTAATTTTTTTGGAGGTTTCCCTCATTTACGGGGAACGAGGGAAATTTTTTCAATTTTGAAGGGTAATGTCTTCGACTAGATACAATTTGTGATCTTTTGACGTATCGTTGAAAGAAATCCGTTCGGTGAGAGCTGAGAAAAAGTGGTAACAGACACAAAAAAAAAAACACATCATAGTAAAACCAATACCTTCTCAGCTTCGCATCGAAGCTAAAATG